TTTATAATGTAATGACATGATAACTTACAATTTACAAAAATACCTGTTGGTTTACCGAATCTTTTCAATTGTACCTAAACAATTCTAAAAATGTGAAAGGAAATGACTAAAGTATTCGAAGTCAAAGTCTATCAGCCCACTGTGAAGACTGTTATATAATATATTAAAATGTTTAACATAAAACCTTGGATCTAGATTTTTATACTGGTTAATACTAACGTGTAAAGTGTTCTTGCTATTTTGAATCAAGAATGATTCTGTTAGAAATTTGAGGGGTTGTTTTTCAATAAAACTATTCCACACTTGCCATTAAATGTTTTTAACACTTAAATATCTATGGAAATGGGAAGTTGTTTTGATACCGATGGGTATAAGTGGTATGTATTACCAAGAGAAAGTGGAATGCCTGGTGCTAGAAGGTTACAATAAGAGGAACATGAATATACCAAATCTAGTTACTGAATAGTTATACAATAATTATATATATATATATATATATATATATATATATATATATATATATATTGATGAATATTTTGAAAATGAAGTATCGGCGAGACTATAATTTATGAAGGAACCAAACAGGAATAAGATAACAGGTCTCGGATTTGTGTGAAATTCGCTCATCCATTTGGCTAAATATAGTCTTGGCATTATAGCTGATGTCATTTCGTGGTGAAAACATTAAATCTGATTCTTAACCTTAACCATCAAATGTTATTCATATTTATAATTATTCATACTTTTTTATAACCCACATTTGATTCTTCTTATTAGGTGGACACTTTCAAGGTCACTTTAACGTCGCTCAAATGTCATCCAGAAATTATAGTCTCATCGAAGTATTTACTGTATGGTTCTTAGATTTTACTAAGAGATGATATAATTTTGTATTAAGATTCATTTGATTATCCTCACTTATGATCTTGTTTATTACAATTTGATCAATGACAATATTCATTTAAATTAACATTTCATCAATATATCCCCTTCAAATATCAATGTGGTTCGAAATGTTTTAATTATGTCTAAAATTGTTTATATTTTTTTAGAAAAGGTTTTATGGAGATGTTAGTAGTTTTAATAGTTGAAATCACGAGTCAATTGAAGCTAGACCACCATGGAAAACCTGGAATCACTGAACGGCTGTTTCGTCCTAGTATGGGACTCCTCATCAGTGCGCATCCACGACCTCACCCCCTAAGAGATTCGAAACCAGGACCTGTCAGTCTCGCGCACGAGCGGCGGGTGGAGTCATGGATGCGCATTGCTGAACAGTCCCATACTAGAACGAAACGGCCGTCCAGTACTTGGAGGTTTTCCATGATGGTCTAGCTTCAATTGACTCATGATTTCAACTATCATTTTCGACATACATTTTCACCATGTCAACTGAAATAGATGATTATCTATAGATACGTTTTTTTAAAAAATGTATAAATAATTATCATAATTAAAACTAGTGAATATTTATTGGTTGTCAAGTGAATAATTAACAAGGTTTAAAATGTGACTCAAAAAGAATAAATAAATTAACCTGTCCAAATGTTAGAATAAGCTTTATGGGTTTGTATAACACTACAACAAATAAGTTTTTAAATTGTATTACAAAATTTTATATCATAATTAGTTCAGATAAGATGTAGATTGTCAGATTTATAAAATTAATTTTGTTTAATTTAATAATTGAATTCATGAGTCAATTATAGATAGACTACCATGAGAAACCTGGAAGTATTGGACGACTTTTTCGTCCTAGTATGGAACTCCTCGACGGTGCACATCAACGATCTCGACCTGAGGGATTAAACTATTGAAATTACTAAAATCTACGGAAAACCCTTTCTGATATTAATCATCATGTGAACACTAGTGACTAGCTTCAAGAGGTATTTCTTGGAGTTCTAATGAGAAGCAGTGACCAGTGGAGTTCAATCGGGTCTGTTGTGAGATAGTAACTCACTAAAGACAATAGTGGGCAGTGGCGCAATTTCGTGAATTGGTTGAAGTTAGACATTAACAACGTTAGATGCCAACTCAAAAGTCTAGATGTTAAGCGTTTGCGCGTGAGACCGGTAGGTCCTGGGTTGGAATCTCACGAGGCGGGATCGTGAATGCTCACTGCCGAAGTGTCCCATACTAAGACGAAACAGCCGTTCAGTGATTCCAGGTTTTCCATGATGCTCTAGCTCTAATTGACTCATGAATTCAACTACTGAAATGGCTAAAATCTCCACAAAACCCTCTTCTGAGTGATATTTCTGTAGGTTTTGCTTATGCTAACTTTTTTTGTTAAAGAAGTAAATAGAAGTATGAAGGTTTAGTTATTATATACAGATTAAACAGAAGATCAATAACATGGTCTTTTTATCAGTAATCAAGCGTAAAAATAATAGTTGAATGACTATGTTATTTAATATTAAGTTATCACTTATACCATAATTATAACAGAAGCTAGTGTTAATGAGACTGACTTAATGTACAGTCAGATGACCAGTATTTCGTACGATACGTCTACAGAAGCATTATGAAATCAAAAAGAAAGATTAGTCAAATAATCTTGTACTACTTTCTATCGCGTACGAACGACTTTGTCATTACGCTGATTTCAGTTGTATTCAGTACGATCCATGTAAGTTAATGGGAAGTATATAATAACAAAGAAATAGTAATCTGTCTACATACACTTATATCTGAATAGAATTTGTTATAACTCTCAGAAATCTTCGTCTACGCGAATGGGACGTTAAGTTACCTTAGAAGAATATCTAAACTAGATTCCCCCACTCCAGTGTCTATTCTACATGACTTCAACACAACGCAGATCAAGAACACGAAAAATTACAAACTGTTTCGTGAAACAATTTTGGATCACTTAACTAAAACTAATTAAGGCAATTTATGGGGATCAGTTTAATTATAAAAACAAACTATTGGTCACTGAGTGACTGTACATTAGCATGAACTGATAAGTGGATTTTAGATGCCGATTCAATAGTTAAACGTTTCGCGTCTGACTTGAGGTCGGACGACGTTAGCACGTATATCTAGTGAGTCATGTAAAATGGGTATATAGGAATAAATAAACAATGGTACTTCGTCATTTTATGAGACATTTTGAAATGCTTTACTTTATTAAATAAAACATTTTCATAAATATTTAGACTTCATCAGTTGTTAAGTTAGTGAAATCCGCAATCTCATCGGAATTCACTTCAGTGGTTTAAAATTAATCCACTCACAGTGAGGTATAAATATCTTCAATTCGATTGATGGTTGAATCATGACTGAATATGTCTGAATAGTATCACATTATGATGAAAAAACTATAAAGTACACTTTGGTTTCAATGGTCATCTAACAGAAGTCAGTCCATTATGTAAACTATCTTCAAAGTGGTGCATTAGACTAACAAAAATAATCGATTTTAATACAGAGATAAAGATAATGATTAACATTTTGATAAGCATTGTCTAGCAGATGTACAGAGACATGTCATTAAAGACATGACACAATATAATATAGATAGAGCGGTTTTGTAATGACTATTTTACATTATGGTGATATTCATCAATAATTTGTCTCCGTTGAGGTATCGATAAAAATCATATATGCTTGTTCGGTTTTATTATGGGACTCCCAAAACATGCGAACATACAACACTACGAGAAATCCGACATAAAGCCATCAGGAACTTTAGGCTGGGATGAATGAACACTGTAAATCTCATTAGTCTATTGAATAAAATGTGTTGGTAAATATTTAGATTTTATCGATTGTGAAATTAGTGAAAATGATTCTGTTGATAGATATCATTTGATAGTTTGAATGAATTTTTTGTTCTATTTACAGCTCCTTCTATCTTCTCTATGATGGTTTCATTAACAACATCATCGACGAATTCGATTTATAACAATGGTGATTTCTGACGAATTGTTACTATTTCCAGTTTCATTTTCGACTAATATTTTTTGCTTAGTTAAGCATTTATGAGATATCCATTCATAACTAATGTAGATAACAGATAGTGTTTAAATCTTCTGCATTTCATAATACTAGTCATATAGAACGTGATTTTCGGAGTGTGAAATGAGAAAACAAACGAAATAATATTTTGATTGAATCCACGATTGAATTCATAATCATATATTTGCATTGACTGTCAACTATATTATGCTGAAACAATTATACAGTACTCTCTGGTCTCAATGGTCGTCTAACAGAAGTCAGTTCATTATGTAAATCATCTTCAAAGTGGTGCATTAGACTAACAAAAATGAGACGGAAGTTTCTAGGTTTAATCCTTATTGGGTGGAGGAAGATGGGAAATCACTCATACTAACTGTATAGAAATTTTATACTAGAACAAGACAACTGTCCTATGCTAAATAATTTTCAATAGTGATTTAGTGCGGGATCGTGAATAAGCACTGTTGAAGAGCCCCATACTAGGACGAAACGGCCGTTCAGTGCTTCTAGGTTTTCCATGGTGGTCTAGCTTCAATTGACTGATGATTTCAATCAGTGAAACATTCATCCTTGTTTCAAATTATGAAAATGAGTTATTTATTACTTAGACACTTGACAATTAATGATGCATCATTTTTTTCATGAACATTTCAATAACTATATACCATGAACTAATGAATTCATCAAAATGTTATATTGTCAATTACAAACAAACAAACAAACAAACAAATTGTGTATTCATTCATTGGATAACAAATAATCTTACATGTAGTTTACTCTTGCATACCAATAATATACAGTTATATAAATGTATGTGTTTATAGTGCTTTAACTAGTCGGATATAAGTTGCATGATTATATGAACGAGAGGACCTTTGTCGACACAGACCCACCCACACACACAAACAAACAAACAAAACTGTGTCAAATTGCTAATTAATTGTTAAACATTGATTATTATTATGATTATTACTTTACTGAATGCATAAACAGTAATGATCAAAAGCATCATTAGTTATTGAAACTCCTATATGATCCAATATATATGTCATAGTGACAAATTGAACATGCAAAAGAACAAAATAATAATAATCACTAGTGAAATCAATGTAATAATTGTATTTCTTTTACAGTTTATATCAGATGGTAAGTCAAATTTGATTTTTTTTTTACTGTATAGCTACTATTTGATGGTTTGATTAGAATAGTAGTGTAACTCTAATCGACATTTGTCCACAACCTTATATTACAGTCTTTGAAGATGAATTCTCCAAGATGGGAACTATTCATTGAACCAATCTTTCTTATAAATGTACATGAATAAATGATGATATTATTAGGGATAGTTGCTTAGTCAAGATGAATATAAACAATTTGGGGGGGGGGTATTTGGTTAGTTAAATAGCAGATAGCATAAAGATTTCACTTGCTCATTAGTGCAATAACATACAGATACTTCCATTGGGAATTTATTATCAGCTTGGAAGTTAGTGGATGCCAGTTCAGTGATCTAGAGGTTAGACTTTCTTAGAGTGATAGAAATTTCTGGGTTCGATTCCCGATTAGAGTATCGTGAATGAGTAATACTGCAAAGTCGTATACTCAGACAGAATAGTCATTCACTGTTTTCATGTTTCCAGTCGTTGTCTAATTTGAATCAGTTTCTAATCTCAATAAGACTCTATTATTATTACTGACCCTCATTAAGAAATCAAATAAATGGAACGATAGGTGTTTACTACTTTTTGCAGTCTTAATAGCGCTATTAAATGATAGAAACATTATAGTAACCTTCTATATAGAAAGATTTTCTTTTACATTTTCATTTCGAATTCAAATCTCAAAGATTTGCATGACCTTTTCACTTGCCATGTAGTTTAAATGAAACCAAATTGCATACTTTATAAAATTACCTCTAAACAAATACTCATTTCAATGGTTGAAAGCATTGGATGGCCGTTTCGCGGTAGGGGGAGTGCGGGATCGTAGATGTGCACCGATGAGGAGTCCCATAATAGGACAAAACGGCCGTCCAATGCTTCCAGGTTTTCCATGGTGGTCTAGCTTCAAATGACTTATGATCTCAACTATTGAAATTACTACAATCTCCACAAAATCCCTTCTGATACTAATATCACTGTTATCTGTAAACGTAGATAGTAAATATATTAGAGTTCTGTTATTATAACAGTGGGTAGTTGAGAACAAGAGACATATGTGTACAGCAAAGTATTGAAGAATGATTATCAATGTGTAATGCTATGGAGGATTCTAAAATGAGAGAGAAGTTTAAAGGTTATATTATTTTAAACAACTATGTTACAGTCACTGATAGTAATTGTACCAATTATGAGAAATAGTGAAACAGATATATATGGTAGCAAAAACTATTTACAAAATAAGTCTGTTCTGACTATTTCTGCAGTATCTTTGTCAAATGAAGCAGGTTGATAAAAAGCTAAATGAAATGTAGTTGATGATGATGATGTTCACTAAAGAGTTATGGTGATTGGAATGTTAATGCTTTGAACATAAATGCACGCAGTTTATAAATTTCCGTTTTCAACGAAATAGTTGGCTATTATTTGCTTATTTGAACATATAAACTATGGTACTATGGGGCACCAAATAATATGCACCACACAATATCAATGGAACCAGTAGTAGTTATTATTGATTTGTGTGGGCACTGTGATACTTACACTTCGGCTTCACAAAGCGAAGTCGGTAATTTTCTTAGGAGGCCACAACCTGAGCCTTTGACTTAAAGGTCTATTCCACAAGACAATGAAAGAACATCAGTAGATGCAGTTCTATGGTAGTCAGTGACCAACAAATGGTTCATACGCTATATGTACTCTCTGAATCCCGGAGCGCATGTGCACTATTGATTTAAAATCAGAGTTTTCCAAATCCCCTAGTTGGATCTCCTATATCCACCAACCCAGTTCAAGCTCCGGAAATACGTTTTTCGTCCTCTCAATTTCGTAAACAACAACCCTATCACGAAAGTTTAATGAGTAGAACTTCCTTGACGGTGTTTGTATAAGCGGGACCATGTAAGAGCATTTGAAGAGGTAGAGTGAACTCTCCACATCCTCGACTCCACAAAGGCATTTGAAGGCAATAATTTACTACAGTTTTCTTATATTTCAACTATTCACTGAATGATATCATCTTAATGATAAAAATCAATTGTAAATTAAATAATGATTTACAAATAATGTATCGATTATTACCGTATTAAAAAATCATTTCTCAATGAATGTTCACATAATTCATTCATAGTATCATTTGATGAAACAATATCACAATTTTATTGATTTTTTTTTCTTTTCTGGATATATATATCTACCTGACAACAATATTAGAAATCTATCGATGTATATTAGTGATAATTTACATTTTTACAAGTTGCTAATTTCAATAAATCAAACGGTAAAACAGTAAAATGTGAATTTTAGTAAAAAAACGTTTCTCCATTTTACATATTAGAAAACAAAAAAGAACAAAATTCTTATTCATCTGCATATTTTCATATAAATCAAACTATATTTCATTGAAAATAAGTTTGTTTTTAGTAATGAAGAAATGAACTATAAGAGGAAAGATGGATAGTGGATAACAGTGGAATTTAGGACTCGTCAGCTGGATGTACCTGGATCTTAAAGTTGATGTTCACTCTGCAACTCGAACCTAGTACCGTCGTCTATTGTACAATGGAGCAGCTATCAGAACTCAGTAGATAAGTGGATAACCCGATGACGTTGAAAAGAGAACGATAATAGGTTTGAGATCAAGAGTAAACATCAAATTTAAGATTTAGGTACATCCAGTTGACGAATCCCAAATAAGACGGAACAAGCTAACTACTATCCATCTTTACTTGTAATGCATGTGAATTAAGGCAATATTGAGACAGTCATCACAGGATGCAAATATGCCAGTAAGAGACTGATCAATTGTAGTCCTAAACATCGATGGGCTGATTCAAGTAAACAATACCAAGTGAATTTGATCTATGAAAGAGTTATTGAAATAGCTGATGTAAATAAATTATTTGACATGTTGGAGTGATCCAGAACATTTCTTGCAAAAGACACGTAAAGATCAGGAAACACTAAGAAGCGTTTCATTCAATCAACGTTCATTTGAAGTTTTAGCCAAAAATATCAAGGAGGTGAAACGTCACATGTAGAGATTCTGACTGGCTGATTGCTATACTGCTACTATGTTTAGTAGCATTCCAGAATCTTCAAGCAACCCAAGGACATTTAAAAATATTATAAAAACCCTATATTTTCTATGTTAAAATGAACCTTAGAGTAAAGTACTTCTCTCATACTTTGTGTCTTCTCTCTCGTTGTACAGGTCGCTATATAGTTTTAGCTTTGTGAGGGGGGGGGTTACAGAATAGCTTAGGAAACGAATATAGCGTTCAATTTGCAAGACTTATCAGACAATATAAACATAATAATTTTATTCGCTTGATAATGTTTACTTGAATCTTCCAATTGATGTTTAGGACTGCAATTGATCAATCCAGCTGACGATTCCTAAATAAGACGAAACGTGAGTCCTAAATTCCACTGCTATCCACTATCCATCTTTCCTCTTATAGTTCATTCTTCATTACTAAAAACAAACTTATTTTTTAATGAAATATAGTTTGGTTTATATGAAAATATGCAGATGAATAAGAATTTTTTTTCTTATTTGCAAAATGTCAGTCCCCCAAAAAAATATTCATAAGGTCCGTTTGATGAAACTAAAATGTGACGAAACCAGATCCCTGAATGTTGTTGCTAATTTCAGTTTAGTAATATTGTATATATATAGTAATTTTAATCCAATATGAAATCATCTAACTAGATAGTATACATATGTACTTTTAAATTAAATACACTCTTAAATATTGTTATATCTGGATGAGAATAATGAATGGCAACTTTGGGATCCACTATGCGTATATTTTTATCGTATAATTGTTATGTAACTAACTTATTCATATTCTTGTTCCTCTTATTATGAGATTTATTTTGACCTATAAACTATTATTATACGATTTACCATTCTGGAGATTATACCCAGTCTATCAGATACGATCTCTCACATTCACAGCCACATTTGGCTAAATCTTGTACAAATATTATTTTCCATTTTATTAGTACGATGTGATCTGTCTCGTTGGTATATAAACCCAGTATGTTTGAAATACATGATTCATATCTCAAAGGCTGAGATTGGTGTTCTGTACTTAACAGGTTGGGCTAAGCGGGAAATAGAACCGATAAGAACTCTAGACTATTCGAACAGGTTTGGCCCGATCGATAATTCACTGCTCTCTAGTTGGCAGCATCATCACTTTATACATTACCAGGGGGCACACAAGTTATAATAAATATCACTAAAGCTAGAAATATAAAGTTTTACAGATTAATAAATTGTTATACTAGTATATGACAATTCAATTCTATTTCCGAATCTTCATATGTAACCAAGGAAGAAATCAAAAGAGAAAAGAAAAAGAAAAGAACGGTTAATTGTTTTCTTTTCTTTTTTTCTTTTTTTTAAATTTTAAGATGATCATCCTAAATTTGAAAATAAAATACATTTAGTTGTTTTGTAAAATGGATGTCGAATGTTATGTAATAAGTATATTATGATATATATATATACTATTTTGCAATCTTTCTTTTATATATTACCACCTCTGAATTAACTACTTTTATGAATCCGGTGTCCATCTTGTTGTGTTAATGATGTATGACAACTTGGACCGATGCATATATGTATGCCTGGCCCTAAGTTGTAGCTGACTGACTGATATACTATACATATATACTATACTATACTACACTATACTATATATATATATACTATATACTACATATACTATATATTTCGTAATGTCAAGATTATAAACTGATTATTTTTATTGCATTTATAAAACTTCAATTATTTATAACATTACCGACTAAGATAATAAATCACTTTAAATGTTTAGACTTTTGTCATTTGACAGTTATTGCCTAATGACCGATTTTGATAGATATTAGAAAGGTTTTTGTGGGGATTTTAGTCATTTCAATAGCTGAGATCATGAGTCGATTGAATCTGGACTACTCATAAGTCTTGCAAATTGAACGCTATATTCCTTTCCTAAGCTATTCTGTAACCCACCCCCCTCACAAAGCTAAAACTATACAGCGACCTGTACAACGAGAGAGAAGACACAAAGTATGAGAGAAGTACTTTACTCTAAGGTTCATTTTATCATAGAAAAGATAGGGTTTTTATAATATTTTTAAATGTCCTTGGGTTGCTTGAAGATTCTGGAATGCTACTAAACATAGTAGCAATATAGCAATCAGCCAGTCAGAACCTCTACATGTGATGTTTTACTTCCTTGATATTTTTGACTAAAACTTCAAATGAACGTTGATTGAATGAAACGCTTCTTAGTGTTTTCTGATCCTTACATGTCTTTTGCAAGAAATTTTTTGGATCACTCCAACAACTACTATGGAAAACCTGGAAGAACTGGACAACCGTACATGATACTTGTTTCAACCCCTTTAAACGATAAGCATTCACAATTTTATCAACCAGTTTGTTATCTTTACTTAATACTCCGTTTTAAACTTTAGGGCTGCTCATTTAAACTTCTCTAGATACATGAACAATGCTCTGAAGGTATCTAAGATTAAATACTAGGAACTTATGGATAATCCCTACATTTAAAAAGCACATTTTATATTCACAATGTAGAACAGAATGAATTAATGAGTTGGTTTAATGTATTTCTACGGATTCCCTCTAACAATAACATTGGAATTAATATGTCAACTGAGAGTTGTAAATCCATTTATTGAAAAAAAATGTATATTTTTCTGTGTCTTTTCTTTGTAGTTTCTGCTATCAAATGTCGTGTTTGTTTACCATGTGAAGAAAAATACAAAAAATTATTCCAAATTACAAAAGATGAAATTTTAGACAACTGTGGAGTTTGTATTGTAAGTCAAGTGAAAATAACCCCACACTGTAGTAAGATAAAGAAGGTTTTATTTTTAATTTATTGCTTGCATTATGAATAAATATTAAGAAGTATGTTCCACTGGACATTATGGACTTCCTGAGAAGATTGTCAATATTATCTGGAACTTATACGACGGACTACAGTGCAAAATCGTGCATGGAAGACAGATGAAAGATGCATTCTAAGTAAGGAACAGAGTCAGATAAGGATGCCTACTCTCTCCCTTCCTCTTTCTTCTGGTGCTCGGCTGGATTATGAAGACCTTGACATTTGAGGGAACACATGGAATACAATGGACAGCTGAGAATCAATTAGACAATTTGACTTCACAGATGACCTAGCCCTCCTATCCCATACACAAAAGCAAATGCAGATGTGCATCGGTAAGCCTCAGTATAAACAAAGGAAAAAGCAAGATCCTCAAATTCAACAGGCAGAACACCAACGCAGTCAAACTTGATGGAGGAATTATGGAAAAGGTGCAAACATTCACGTATCTGGGTAGCATCACCGATGAACAAGGAGGATCGGATGCAGACGTAAAGGCGAGGATTGGCAAAGCAAGGGCCGCATTCCTACAGTTGAAAAACATATGGAACTCAAAACAACTTTCAACCAATATTAAAGTCACAATCTTCAGTACGAACGTCAAGGCAGTTCTACTGTATGGAGCTGAAACTTCGAGAACTACTACAACCATAATCAAGAAGATACAAGTATTTATAAATAGCTGTCTACGCAAGATACTCAACATCCATTGACCGGTTACCATCAGTAACAGCCTACTGTGGGAGAGAACAAATCAACTCCCAGCTGAATAGGAAATCAGGAAACGACGTTGGTAGTGGATATGACATATATTACGGAAATCGTCAAACTGCATCATGAGTCAAGCCCTAACTTGGAATCCTGAAGAGAGGTGCAGAAGAGGAAGGCCAAAGAACACATTATGCCTGGAAATGGAAGCAGATATGAAAAGGATGAATAACAACTATAAAGAGCTGGAAAGGATTGATTTGGACAGGGTTGGATGGAGAATGCAAGTGGGTGGCCTATGCTCCTCCACGAGGAGTAACAGACGTAAATAAGTAGGTAAGTAAGTAGCATGTTCCACTAAAAACTAATATCAATTGTAGAATCATTCCAAATCGATTTACAGTGAATACCTTTTCTGTTACAATCAGAGACACTCTAGTAATATAGAAGTTTGATTCACATCAAATTGAAGATAAGGTATTCACATCTTGTAATAGACATAATATTTCAAAGGCATTGCAAAGGAACCCAATGATGCATGTTTTAAGCTTCAGTTGATTAATGATCTTGTACAACAATCCTATATTACTGGTTGTTTCTTCCCTATCTTGATAAAAATCAATTCATACAGTTCTAATTAAAACCTGTAAATTAAGATTCCAACCAACTGTAAAATTAGATAAATATCAATAACTGTGTTGGATACACATCATCGACTGAACAATTTTAATTACCATGACTAAGATCAACTATTCTAATGAAACTTATGTACTATACCATTTTAACGTTATTAATTCCAGTCAGAACTGATTCAGTGTCATATTCATTAGTTTATTCATACTGTGTAGAAAATAAACTGAGAAAACATTTTTGATTGTTAAGTCAGCTAAAAACAATATTTTCAAAGTATCCTAAGACGAATCGGTCGCCAAAAATTACTAAAATAAGTCCATGGTGAGAAGAAGCAACAGGTCACAGAAGAATTATAATGTTCATAATATTAAAAGTCCCTCGATGAAGCAGTTCATGTCACTGATTTTCTCATCAGATTTGCATATTTAATGTTGTTAAACATAACTGTGGATAATTTTGTCAGTTCAACGTCTTAACCTTAAAACAACTACATAACATTAGCAATATGGTTATACTTAACTCATTTACTAATAACAGAACTATCGTTCATCACAACATTTGAAAGTTATAGGTTAGATCCTTATTTTAAGTTCTAGAGTGTAAAATATTAAGGGGTAACATGAAACTATCAAACGTTTATACTTTATTATTATCATTATTGAAAAGACAAGGTCTATGTTTCAACAAAAGCCCAAACAACATGTAAGCGATTTTGTCACATCCCATTATGTCTATCAATTTACATATATGTGCGGAAACACGTACATAGGGAGGAGCAGTCGTGATCTACAATCACGGATGGGTGGACGTATATCAAAATGTCTGCAGAAACAAACGAATTCCAATGATCGAAGATCACGGGATAGACAGACATCATCTTCCATTGCGAAACATTTGACTGAGACTGGTCATAAGGTTAACATCATGTCAGCATTTGTAGTGTTGTACAAAAGCCTTCAGGGACATATACTGAAGTTTATTGAAGCCTTGACTATACGAAAACTGAAACCTTCTTTATACGTTCAAAAACAATTTGTCCTTATCCTTAATCTATCCTGATAGTACTGATTTGTTATACAGAGTGGTTATCACATTGTTTTTGTGAGGAATCCCATAGTAGGACGAAATGGCCGTCCAGTGCTTTGGAATTCTCCATGGTGGTCTAGATTCAATTGACTTTTCCAGTTTAATGATCATAATACCTTCAAATATTACATAACATCAAAAAACCAATCAAGTAAGATTTAATAAAATAACTTCAATTATGTATAAAATGTTAATGTTAATAATAGAAAAAAAGGCCTATAAATATACTGTATATTGAACTATAAAATGATAAAGTTGTATTCTATGAGATACTTAAACAAAAACTCTATAGGAAGAAAATAGGCCACCATAAAATCTACAGATGTACTTGGATAAAGAATACTTATTTATTACTTAAGCTTACATCACAGGTTACCTTCAGTTCGACCACCATGTATAAATAGAAAAGACTAGATAGCTTTATTGTCCAAGTATGAACAATCAACCTCAGGGTTTTTAGTCCTTATGAATACTTTAGACCAAACGATTGGCATCCAACGCTTTATACTTTTTAACTTCAGTCAATCTATGATATCAAATGACTGTCATACATGATTATTAGCGATAGTTATGTCACTTCTAACATGGCTTTGTCAACTTTATATCTTATTCCGAAATGTCTTAAGAGAAGAAGAGTATCTTTTTGAGTAGAATAACATAAATTCATTTTATTTCGTCCGGTTCTCATCAGTCGATTACAACCTTTGATGTTTCATAAGTAAAATTATCAATTCGGTTGAAAATAATTATATAAATGTATTTGATTGTAAGATAACGTAAAGACACTTCAGTACAGAATAATAGATGCAAAGAAATTTAAGAAATCAAATCGAGGTTCACTTGGTATTGTTTACTTAAATCTTTCCATTGTGGTTTACGACTGGAATCTATCAATCTCTTGTTAGCATATGTGCATCTTGTACGTACTGCCTCAGTATTGCCTTACGTTACAAGCTTTATAAGTAAAGATGGATAGTGGTTACCAGTGGAATCCAGTAAGTTCGTTTCGTCAGCCAGATGTACCTGCATCTCAGAGTTGGCGTTTACTCTGGATCTCGAACCCAGTATTGTTCTCTCTAAACTCCATCGCTTTATCCACTCAACTGACGAATCCTGAATTCCACTACTAGCCACTATCCATCTTTGTTTATAATTAAGTAACAATATTACAAGTATATTTCAAACGTAGAATGGCATTCTAGTTCACTGATAACCGTAAAGACCAAAGAACTAGAAATTTTTCATTACGTAATGGATAGACGTTAAAGTAAAAATAAAATATTATGAGTAAAGCTTAGTTAGTTGATAATCAAATTAATGAAATAAATGAGTTTTAAAAATAACAAAGTAATCAAATGAGAAAATTAAAAGAAGCTTTGGGATATACCAAGATAAAAGTTATTTTACAATTACAGAGAAATACTCACAATGGTTTTCTCTCGGAACATTTAATCTAAACTTCTGTTGCCTATTAATAACAACTTCAGAACCATTCAAATAACTAGAACTAGACTGTTTGTTGATAACTTCAATAAAATTCGAAGTATCAATGTGACGTCTAATATCCAAGAAATACCTATTTACATTTTACTAAATGAGGTATTTTCTGTTTATCTTATTCTTACTCATGATTAGCGTTTGTTTCGTTGATATTTACCAATATCAATGTTGGGCACTTCTCGACGATTGACTGTAGCCCATCGTATAATTGATCTTTAACGTCTTCATTGTAGTCATTAATAGGTGCATAGCATTGGATGACGTTCATTGTAATGCCCTCTTTCTTTGTTTTGGAAAAGGCTTTGATGATCCTAGGTTCATGAGATTCTCATCCTATAAGTGCATTTTGTGCTTGTTTGGATAGTATCGATGCAACTGTTTGTGTATGTGGGGCATTTTCTTCTTCCTTGCCCGAGTATAACAGAGTCTCCTCTGAAACTAATCGTTGTTGTTCAACCTGCGTCCAATATGTTTCACTGATTTCAAGCACCTCTAGGTCGTATTTCCTCATGTCTGCAGCAATTTGGAAGACTCTCCCAGACTTCCACATTTTATGAGCATTCAATATACCTAAATAAATGGTTACTCTGATTGTGAGAAGGGCATCAGCCTCGCGACTTTCGAAGGAACCCGGCTTTCTCCATAAGGCGCCATAACTCTTCTGAATGAAGAGAACAAACCAGATCCCAGTGGAGGAAGAACTTAGGAAGAAACGCTGGAAGTGGATAGGACACACATTGAGTAAAGCAACCAACTGCGTCACAAGGCAAGCACTCACATGGAATCCTCAAGGCCAAAGGAGGAGTAGAGGAAAACTAAAGAACACATGACGCCTGGAAATAGAGATAGACATGAGAAAAATGAACAAGAATTGGATGGAACTAGAAAAGAAGGCCCAGGACAGAGTAGGTTGGGGAATGCTGGTCATTGTCCTATTCTCCTTTGGAAGTAACAGGCGTAAGTAAGTAAGTAAATACAATTATACAAGTAGTCATAACCACCCACTTTGTAATATCAATTTCGAAATATTACAGTTAGTTAGCAGTTGAAGAGAACCTAACGAAATAAAATAGATTCACATTATATCGCTGATGTTCTCTTCATGCTTTCATCAAATTAACTAAATGGGACATGTTTGTACGATTTACGATTTTAAACAATGTTTTGTTTTTCTTTAATTTCTCATTTACAGACAGCCTATTCAACTTTCCAAGGTTATCAAATGGAAGGTCGAGGTTGTTTACCTAAATGTCCACTTAAAGATGCTATCAATGAGCTTACTCCAGGACTTGTTAACAAGTATAACTGTTGTTATTATGATTTATGCAATAGAACAAACAAATTATTTGTACAATACAAATTGCTTATTCTGATTTCATGTTTATTCAATTCATTATTTATTGTTGTGAATAGATTTACTGTTTGTTGAATGTAAATACATGTCAGCATTTCATCAAGACATATTCTTATCATATATTTACGTGTGTTGTTTAATGCGATTACCAAATGGTTGTGACTTTTAGCCCGGTTAAATATCACGTGATTTATTCGTCAACCAGAGTACGACTTATAAAATCTTGGCACTATGCCACAACAATGATGTATTGACCTATGTGAGTAGTCTAGCATCTTTATTGGTCCATTCCTTACCTAACCCTGCCAGTTGAGTCAAGAATACCAATATTAGCTCCCACTGTGTGAATCGTTTATTTCAAAAATACGTAGTTTATATACACGCTAAACGGACCGCACCACACCATAAAATAGGAAATGACATTAATACACGACAAAGTTAAAAGGAGGTGGGATTGTGGGAGACCGTAATTAACAAACTGAGTATAATTTAAGACTAGTAAATCGTATCATAATAGTATATAGGTCAAAATAAGAGGAATATAAACATACCAAATCTAGTTACTGAATAGTTACACAATAAGAATGTGGAGAAGATTTGTAGCTCAGGTGGATGATTTTGGTGGAGTTTTGTTCTCTGACCTGGATGGTTTGGTCGTGTTAGTATTAGTCTATATTATTAGTATTAGTCTATAAATAGCTCCCAACAGTTACTGCGATTTATTCTCCTCAAAATATAACACAAATGTTACCTAGTTCAAACAATATTTTGTACACCTCAATTCCTACATATTTTGCAATTCGCATATCAAGTGCTTTTACTTCGTTTTTCTAAATTCAACTACTTATTAGTAATACAACGTAGCTAGAAAATATTTCTCGAGACTTTTGGCAGACAGGAGCGTTTACGAAATACAGTTCGTTGTGACTATTTGATCTACAGGTAGTTAAAATTGCTAGCACAATCGAACCAGAAAATCTTTAGGAACAGAGGATCACTAAATATCAGTTTGATCTTGATTGTTTATCTCCGCACTGAAAACCAGACATTGGACTTCCACCTAGTAGGTGATTGGAATCATGCATCACTGAATACTAACTCTGTGAGCTAAAATTATTGTACCCAGTCCACGATCTCAAAGTTTTTGGTTCAACCGCTATGCAAATATTACATTTGGAAGGGCTGATGAATATCTGGCTGACATCTAACTTCTCTTGAGTTCCCTTCAGTCTATCGAAATTTCCCAGTGTAGTAAATAGTAAATGAGAACTTCTTAGGTTAGTTAGATTTCCAAGAAACGAAAGTTATGACTTAATGGTCACATACAAGACTGTCTTCACTGTACATTAAGTCTGAGGAAATAATGTGATTAAAATAGTTGCACTAATACGGAGTTTTACTTAGAACAGACCTTTAAGTTATTGTAACTATCATCCTACCATACATAAAAGGCATATCAGAAACTGCAACGAGACGGCTGAGAACCTTCGGAATAGATGTTGCACACAAAAACATCACAACAATCACTGCAAATCAAAGGATGAAATGACAGAAGAAGATAAACCAAACATCATCTACAAAATAAATTATGCCAACTGAGAAAAACACTACATCAGATAAACCTGACTTCCCCTTCATCTTTGCCTGCATGAACATAAATTAGCAATCAAATGCCATGGTATGTCCTCACTTATATCGGTGCACGTGAACAACTGCGAACACATATTCGATTGGAAAAATGTGGAAATTTTGTATAGAAACAATTTCAAAAACACTCGAGAATTTTTAGAAGCTTGACACTCAGGTCAATCAGCAATCAACATGCACATTGAAATCGATCCAACTTATCAACCAATGAGAAAAATTATGCACAAACATATGAACAAAAATCAAATCAATGGGAGATACAACCAAAACAAAGAAGTAAATAATGATACATTTAAGGTTGACAAGAACCAATCATCCTCGAGGTCTACAGGACATGCTGTGAACAACATGTGGAGAAATTTGAAGTTTGTGCAGATGATGTCGTTCAGAAGAACAATGAAAATTCCACAACCAAACCATTTAGTTCAGAGAATAAAACCCCATCAAAATCATCCACCTGAGTTACAAATCTTCTCCACCATCTCAAAATTATGCTTAATATTCTTCTTTCATATTTTAAAACAAAATGTAATTGTAATGATGTGGTATGATGCAATCACCTGATAATCATTTACCTTTATTTCAAAATATTTTATGAACGGAACAAATTAATTAATAATGAAAAAAAAAGTGCGAATGTTTTTACTGAATGCAAGATGATGTAATCCAACTGATTATAAAATAATTAATTTATCAGTATTAATTTACATTTTACTATAGATATACAAGTGTGCTTATCAACAGTTTGTAGTTTTTTGTCAAATGGATCACTCTCTCATTCACTCACTCACTCACTCGCTCTCTCTCTCTATCTCTCTTGCTACATAGTTATTATCAATAGACTGTAATAAGTAATATTAAAGGAATGTACTAAAGAAAACTCTGTTCATTTTATTGAAAATAATAACTTTCTAAAGTGTTAGAATATACAACATGAGATTGAATATAAATTTCAAGTCATTATTAATAGTTTATTAGTTATCAATATTATTGATTCGTGAAATCGGTTTTTATCTACACTTTTTGAGTCTATGGGTGTGTGTGTGTGTACGTGTGAGGCTCAGAATTATCAAGTGACTAACACGATTGAAGTATGTAGAATATAGTTAAATCTCATGACGTGTTAAATGGATGATAAAAGCTAAAACTACTAAGTCACTATTGTATCAACATGATTTCGGAACAATTCAACAAAAATTAATCCACTTCAATAAAGAGAGTACAGAAGAATTTTCAGTAAGCAAATTACTTCTATCCAACTGTAAATAACATTAAATTATGAAGGTCACTACTGATAAGAAATCAAGTTTCGACTTTTGCTGTATTCAACAAAATGGAGACCATTAATATGATATAGTAACAGACTAATTTATTTAATTACAGTCATATTTATCATGTCGAAGAAAAATTTATTACATTATTGTTTTAAAATTAGTTGAGGTCGGAAATATTTAAACACAACATTCTCTGCAGAACGAAGTGAAATTTACATTATCTCATTTTTTATTAAATGTCTGGCCATTAGTACTATGAAAACTTTATGAACTTACAAACACATGTTTCTAAGTACCTCTTCTGCAAGTCACGTATAAACCCTTCTCTCAATCTTATCTACATACTTGTTACTACATTTGGATGGGAATTTATGAAAGCAATAAAAGAACAAGAAGGCAAAGGGGTATTATTCTGTTTTAGTTCAAATTAATCATAGACACTAACTGTATATGAACCATTATGGTACATTTTGATAATAAAAACACAGTTGGTTAATTAATCTTATGAAAATATAACCTTAAAATCGAAAAGCTCTCGGAAACGTCAACTTTACTGTACTTATAGCAACGAAATAATAATGTGTAATATAAGAGAAAAATGTATATTTGAATGACAGTGTGAATAAATAGTTGTAACTATTATTTTGACACCGTAGTTATAAAATGACGTTTTAAATTCCATATGATCATGATTAGTCAATCAATTTGAACACAGTATGGGGATATGGAGATTGTTGAGTTT